TGAGGTACTGGCACCTGGCTCCTTTTCTCATTGTTTAACATGTTTTCCACTGCTTTTTTGTGGCTTTACAAAAACTTTCTTGAACATTTTAGATATAAATACTAATTATTTTCATACATACCACATATCTTCTCCCAGTTTGTAAGCTCTTTTAACTTTTTCTATATACTTTTAATTGTGTTCAATTCAGTCAAATTCCCTAATCTTTTGTTTTAAGGTTTGTGTGGGTGCTCTATCACTGAAGTAATGCTTTCTTCCCCCCTTCCTCCCTTCCTTCCTCCCCATCCTCTTATCTTTTTACGTAGCACAGGCTAGGCCCAAACTTGTAATTCACCTTCTTTATCCTTCAAAGTGCTGGAATTACAGGCTTTCTTTCTCTCTTTCTTTCTTTTGGACAGGGTTTCTCTATGTAGTTCAGGCAGATACTTCTGCCTCTGCCTCCATAGTACTTGGATTACAGTGGTGTTTTGGGAAGTAAATTCTTACTCCACATTCATAGTCTCCCATATTTTTCTCCTTTTATAAGGATGTCTGTAACTTATCTGAAATTTTCTCTTTCTCTGTTGCAGTGTAAGGCATACTTTACCTTTTCTTTACTAAGAGTTTCCTTGATACCATCCTCCAAATAACTTTTGCTTTTCTTACTGGTAAATGGGACCACTCTGAACATATATTGAAGTTCCACTTATCCTCGTCTATATCCTGTTTCACTTCCCTATTTGTTCCTATCATAGAACCACATTATTAGTCTAGCATTATTTTTGTTACCATGTGGTGCTGATGTAAGATCTTGCAGGGCAAATCTCCTTCCTTGGTTCTTGCTTTTCAAGAGTTCTATTTTTCCTTATATATAAGTTTTTGAAGCTCCTTCACATTTTAGTTTTTGTTAAAATTTCCATGTGTTAGATTGCACTGAAACATAGACTTAGAGATTAAATTGACAACAATATAAACCCATGGTATAGGTTTTCATTTATTCTGCTTTCTTTTACAAAAGTTCTTATATAGTTTTAAATTTTTCTTCATAAAGTTCTTACAAGTTGGTGAATTAACTCCTGGATTTGAAGTTTTATTGGCATTCTGCATGGTCTCTTAGTATTTCCGGCTGCAGCTATAAACTATTGATTGATCTTGTACTTGGCAACCTTGTTCAACTAGCTCATTACCTCTAATACTTTGTTGATTCTTTTGGGATTTCTATGTTGATCATATTTGCAAACATGACAAATAGGAGAGCTTTAAGGGCTCTTCTCAGTGACTCTCCTGAGTGCACACTGAGTATCTCTTTCTTCCTCCCCTCCAATTCTGCCCATAGTCCATAGAAGATAGGAGAGACTTCCTTTCTTACCTCTGGCTCTCCTCTAATCTCTTTCTCTTGCTGTGGGGTACTGATAGCTGATGGCAGAATTTATTGCTGTTGACTGAATTTTGGAATGATTCCTACTGTTCTGTACAGCCATTTATGGATCCTTTATTGCCTAAAAAGACCCTCTGTGTGGGTGATGCCAAGTAGTGAACCCACACAGGCTTTTGATCAGACTTACTTCTGCCCCGGGGTGTTTCTTCCATTGTAAAGTGCAGAATAGTGAGCTCACACAGCTACAGAGGTGTGCCGTAATGTCCTTTTCCACACTATGTTTCTGACCATAGATGCTGATCTCCCTTCCTTTCCTGGTGCTCTGGTTTGTGGTACAGTGCTCAGGAGCTTGTACCTTCAGATATAATTGAATCCCAGCAGCTGTGGCTAGATTATATTCTGTGTGCCTTCTCATCCCAATAGATTGTTCATGATCCAAATCCTAAGCTGGTGCAATGGCTCAAGACTGTAATCCTAGCTGTTTGGGGGGCAAAAAATGGGGAATCATAAATTGAGGCCAGCAGAAAGTTTGTAAGACTCTATCTAAACCTAAAGCCTGGCATGATATGATACACACCCAACATCCTAGCAACACAAGGAAGCACAAATGGGAGGATTATAGTCCAGGCTGGCCCAGGCACAAGACTGTATCTGAAATAACTAATCCAAGCCAGACTCATACCTGTAATCCTAGCTATTCAGGAGGCTGAGCTCTGATGTAGTTTGAAGCCAGCCTGGTTAAGAAAGTCCATGAGAATCTCATTTCCAATTAACCAGTAAAAAAAAAAAAGTCTGAAAGTGGAGCTGTAGCTCAAGTGGTAGAGGTTCAAGTGATAGAGCACTAGCCTTGCGTAAAGAAGCTCAGGAACAGCACTCAAGCTCTGAGTTCAAGCTCCAGGACCAGAAGGTGTGTGTGTACAGAGTGGCTCAAATGGTAGAAGACCTGTTTAGCAAGGCTTGGGGTTCAGACCTCAGTACTGTTACAAAAAAACCCCAAAATTCTAGCTCCCATCACTGTATAGTCCTATTGTTATGTGGGTGAAACTTACCTCCAGTGTTTATATGATACAGGGATGTTTCAAAGGAGCATGACTCCAGTGATGACTTCATCCCTCATGGGCTAGGGAGTCATTCAGGATTGGGAATAAAGGCAACCAAGTAGTCTGGGGCCTCTTTCGCTGGTGGCGTCCTGTGAATTTGCCTGGGGAACGTACAGTTGTTGGGTGTAGCAGAAAGAGTCAGTGGTTTAGCTGGTTCTAACAGAGGCCTTTCTTCCAGCTGTGGACTCAGTGAGCCACACCCAGTCAGCTACTTCTAAGAGTGGTATCTCAGAAGGATAATTGAAATGAGCAATAAAAGCAACTCCCTAAAAGGAACTTCACTAATAGCCTCTTTAAATACACCAGATCTCTGTGAGTTTCTGTGTCTCAATGAGAACAAGCCTTATTTAGAGATTACAAGTAGATTGCCTTCCTTCTTTTGGCCCATTGAAGAGGAGGAGGGGCCGATAAGAAAAGGGTGGGAAGAAGCAGAGAAAGGGAGGTGGAGTCCTCAAAGGCAGGAGGGAACATCCGGGCCACTTTATCATCCTTCAGAGTACATTAAGACACAGAGCCTGCTGGGACAGAGAAACTGGCAGCTCACCAGGGATGTGGGATGGGGATGGAATTTAACATTGAGTAGGCTCCGTGGGTTTTAGTTGGCCGTGTGCTCCACCTGATTCAACAACGTGATGGGACTGCTACAACTATTTGATATCTGGAGTTGTTTTTAACAGAAGCTCAGGACATAGAAAGCGGTGGAAGTCTCTTTTGTCTCTGTATTCAGTAGGCTACCCAGTCATTCCTGAGGGTTCAAGACAATCTGGGATGCCTCTTTCAGAGTTCTTCAGCATGCTGGTGAGTGCAGTTGAAACCCTATTATACCAGGGCCTTTAAGGGACAGAGAATGCTTGTCCTGGGTACCATGAATTAGAGATCCCAAGTTCCTAAGGCATAACCAGAACAGAACAGAACAGAAGAGGAGATGCAGGGACCTGGATTTTTAACTCCCAAGGATGGAAGAAATTTCCAACAGGCTGATCCAGAATGAAACAGCTACCTTAAGAGAGGTGGTAGTGAGGGCTGGGAAGGTGGCTCAGTGGTAGAGCGCTTGCCTTGTATGCATGAGGCCTTGGGTTCGATTCCTCAGCACCACATAAGCAGAAAAAGCTGGAAGTGGTGCTGTGGTTCAAGTGGTAGAGTGCTAGCCTTGAGCTGAAGAGCTGAGGGACAGTGCCCACCAGAGTTCAGGCCCCATGACTGGCAAAAAAAAAAAAAAAAAAAAGAGTGGTAGTGAGTTTTGTTACTGAAAGTACTTAATGGAGACCACTTGGTGGAGAGATGTTGTGAGAATAGTTCAAGCAACTGGGAAGGGGTAATATTACATACATACTCATACACATATATATGTGTGTGCATATATGTACATATACATATAAAATATATATAATTTGTAGTTGCCAGAATCAGTGTTTCAAACAGAAGAAAGTATTGGGGTATATGGTTTGCCCTCATCTTGGCTCTTTCAGGCACTAATGGACATTTATTTGTTTATCCAACATGTTACCACCATACCACCATTGAGTGGTGAACACTGTAAGGACAGCAGAGCATTTGTGTAGGGCCCATAAGAGTGGATATGGTGGGCTCTAAAGCTCTGTCCTGATCTCACTGAGGGGTGTATGTGTGTGTGTGTGGGGGTAGGGCTTGAACTCAAGGCCTGGGCCTTTTAGGGGTGTGTGTGTGTGTGTTGCATTCTACTACTTGAGCCATAGTGCCACTTCCAGCTTTATGGTAGTTAATTGGAGATAAGAGTCTCTCAGACTTTTCTTGCTTTGAACCATGATTCTCAGAACTCAGCCTCCTGTGGAGCCAGGCCTCCAGGTGTGAGCCACTGGCGCCCAGGTATGGACCTCATCTTTAAAAGACTCGTTGTCAGCACTGTCTTTCTACAGGGATGCACATCTGTTAGGGGTCACCACTTCCAGGTTTGGTGAGAGGGGGAATGAGGTAGGATAGAAGGCAGCGGAGGAGAGAGTAGGAGAGACACAAACTTGCTCCGCACCCAGATCTACACACAGGCCATTGACTGATGGATCCAACTACACGACCCGCACAGGGTAAGATGCGGTGGTCTCCGTCCCCAGGACGCAGGGATGTGACACCGAAAGGCCGGCCAGTCCGGGGCCAGCCTTGGGCTTGAACGAGGACATTGCATCGCGTGGCCTCCAAGGCCCTGCAAGGAAAAGCAGTGGTAGCTCGGCGGAGGCGGCGGCGGCTGATCTTCCGCCAGTCGAGGGGCGCAGGAGCTCAGGGGCGCAGGCGGGAGGCGCGTGAGCGAGCGCCGACGCGTGCGCGGGGCTGAGG